GAACTCCTGAGCTCAAACAATTCGCCCGCCTCGGCCTCCCAGAGTACTAGGATTACAGGCGTGAGCCACCACACCCGGCCTTCATATAGTTCTTAATGAGAGGATCTATTTGGATTGTTTAGTCACTGTTTAATAAAGAGTATACCTACAGAGCAGAATTCTTGTTATCAAGCCCCTTTGTAGACTCTTAGGTTTTTCTTGTGTGCAGCGTCAAGTGGTTGCCTTTGGACCAGATGTCAAGCTGTGATCTAATTATTTATTGCTAGGTTTGTGGAGTCTCAGAACAAGATAATGCCTATAGAAAGTGCTTCTGACTGCTTTGTTTGTAAGGAACTTAATTGAAGGCACCTCTTTTCATGGACTGTTCCTTAGTGTACATACTATTCTTGCCTGTCAGGCATATAAGAAGACACTTCTCTTCCTTAGCTTTCTCCAAGATGCTCCTATCTAATCTATGCTTACTCATATCCCCAATGTGGTGACAAAGCCAAATTACACCAAGCCATCATAACTAGGAGTGGCATTGGCTATTTTAAATGCTACCCCGTCAGGTCTGGGTCTTTAGTCTGTAGTGGTCTGTTTGGGGTATTTTCCTGTATTTTATCATTCTTTCATGGCAAATTTAGTGTCACCAGTTCAAGATAATATACAGTCATGTGTCACTTAACAACAGGGATACATTCTGAGAAATGTGTCCTCAGGTGATTTCATCATTGCGTGGACATCATATGGAGTGAGTGTACTTACACAAACCTGGATGGTATAGCCTACTGTGCTCCTAGGCTGTATGGTATAGCTTCTTGCTCCTTGGCTATGAACCTGTACAGCATGTTACTGTACTGAGTACTGTAGGCAATTGCAACACAATGTTAAGGATTTGTGTATCTAAACATGAAAAGGTACAGCAAAAATATAGTATTATAATCTTAGAAGACCACTATTGTGTATGCGGTCCGTCGTTGAGGAAAATGTCATTATGTAGCTCGTGACTATATATGAAATAAAATCAAAGTATTATCAATTTAGTAGTAATTCTAGTTAAGAAGGAGAAAAGGAATCTGGGAAGGGGTTCAATTAGTAAATTTAATATTCAGTTAACTGATTTATAAATCTGAGGTCTTGGCTGAAGCTGTATCACTTGTTTCTCAATAGCTGGTATTTGTAAATTCCCTCACCTGCTACTCATCCTGTGTTATTCTTTGCCTTCAGTCAGCAACATCCGAACTGAATTTTTTTTTTCATGTTGTATATACAACTTTTATTCCAAGGGCTGTAAGTCCTTAGTACAATATTCTTCCTGTATTGGGTTTAATCACTTTAAACTTTTCGTTGCTGTGGTAGAGAGATATACTCCTATATAATGTATGTTAATATGGAGATTAGATTTCAAGTTAGTCTGTAAATTTAAAAGTGGCATATGATTAAAACTGCTCTTGCAAATGTCTTAAATTGCCCCTAAAGCACAGTGCGGTCCTATTCCACATGCATTCATTTAACCTAGATGAATTCAACTCTTCATGACTATGTAATTTTTCTTTAAGAGAGACAAGAATACACATAATGCTGGTAATCCTATCCAATATTCCCCTCAGTGAACATTGAACCCCAACTGAGTATGAGGTGGAAGGCATGACTGCCATTCGTTTACTACATCTCAGTCCTTGGGTGCCTCTCTTGGTGTGAATGTCTTGCTACAATGATTGTGATTTTGGTACTTGAAAATATGGTTTTCTTACACATAACGCAAACTAGTTGTATTATATATTTATATCTATCTTCCTATCTTTTCAACTTAAGGGATTTTCAAGGATATTTTGACTTTTTTTCCTTAAGCACTGATTTTTAGAACTACATTCCTATGCTTTTGTATATATAACTATGTACTGCATTATGTATTATGAGTAAATGTGCAATATAGTTAGCTTTATTGTGGTTATATACATATATTTAAACATTTAGATTTACCCTGACAGAATTTACCTATGAGAGGCACACAGAGACTGAGACTATAATGTTTGAACATCTGAACAAGATCTCCTTTGGGGCGTATGTTTTTGTTTATTAGAGTTGCAGACAGAATTAAATGCTCTGTTTTCTCTCCAGGTTCACATACTTGTTTTCACTAAATATAATGCTTGTATTGATTCACCTTCTTTGTATTCCTTGTTGTTTCCATGTTGTAATAGCAGTCATATCTCCCTGATAGTTAATTACTCTGGTCTACACACTGACCCTCATTTCAGTCTATACCCCTAGAGCCATGAAAAGCCTCTTGATATAGCTGGGTGGTAGTTTCAGTTTCCAGTTCTCTACCTTTCTGTAGTAGAAACATTTCTTCCCTGGTACTGTAAATTCCAACCCAGTAGAACATGGAGTCATGGGAACAAGAAGCAAAATATTTACAAATATGTGAGAAAGGCATACTTAAAGAGGGTCCCTATTTTCTCTTCTATCTCTTGGTTCTTGAATGTACAGTTATTAGAGTGACAATGTCATTTATTGATTTGGGGTTCTGGTTTAGAGCATGTATACTTCAAAATAACACCATCTGGCACTGTAGCTGGGATTTTAATGGATTATTTTATTGTCATGTAAGGCCACTGCTTTACACAGTGGGACAAGGCGAAGCCCATAGACATCACTTCATCACTTCATTGCTTTTTTTTTTTTTTTTTTAATGCTGTGAAATAATTTCCTTGGCCAGCAGTGTTGGTTAAACCACAGTTACTGTACTGGCAGAGGTATGCTGGACAGATAGGGCAAATATATTTTCCGTTGAGGGTAAATTGTTATTGCCTCCATGGTGAGAGAAGGCAAATATAGAATCCAGATGTTGAGTGCCCTTCTAATAAACAGTGTTATTCTCCAGCCCTGCTTCAGTGTGTAGGGAATAATAGTCTTGTCTCAGTACTAAGTCTGGGAGTATAACAGTAGCACAATTACATTATGCCTGCTTAGTAATGATTACAAGTATATAATTAATATGACATTGTATAATTAATAAAAGGTAGTTGGGACAGTTCTATAAAT